TATTCACTCAAATGTCATTTTTTTGGTACCAATCATCTATTATTAGGTGTTAATTCTCAATTAGAATATGAAAGCATTTAGCAAAGATCAAAGGTCGGGGTGCCTGGCAAAGAACATCATGGTCATGAAGCAGACTGTGCCCTCCACATTGGGCCCTCTTCAGTGATACTTGCCTGGATGCTCACTGTTGAGTTCCTTGTAAGAATGGCAGCAGTGGAAAAGTATGATAGAAACCCCAGTGATGCTCCCTTTCTTCACATTGACATACTTCTTCTAATACCAACTGATAGTAACTTCTAAGAAATGTTCCAGTGGTGCCTTTAGTAGTAAAATCCTGCATCAGTTTCTGGATTGTCACTTCCCTTATTTTGACATCTATGAGTATCTTCTTCTTTGGTGGTAATGACATACCATCCTGGAGTCCTGCTATCTGCTGTCCAAATGTCACTCTTTCGTTGAAGTAGAATAAAACCAAAAAAAAAAAAAAATGATGTAAGTGGGAATCATGTCTAGGGATAGCAAATAGTTTTATTCACACATTGCAAACTCTATTCAGTGGCAGTCCAGAGTATTGGATTGAAAACATATTGAAGCTATGTCTCGGATCAACTGGAAAGCAAACACCCTGATAGATTAGTGATAGTTGTCTTAAATCGCAGGATAGACAGTGGAGGAATTTAAGGTTTGTATTTGTAATCCCTAATACTGCTCAGCCCCCAGTTTGTGGTTGAGCTACTAGGTAGGCTATTTAGTTTTTGAAGAATTATGGAAGATAAAGCTACATAACTAAACGGGACAATTAAATACAACCTTAAATGCCAGGCAAAGCAATTTGGGTATAATCCGGAAATTAGTAGGTTTTACAACAGGAGAGACACAAGTTGTAAACTGTGTTTGGAGAACATTAATCTGCCACTGATTTGCAAGATTATTTCTGGTGACAAGGAATCAGAAGTAATAACACTAGTGGTTGTCGTTCTGTATATCCTTGATTCTAAGAGCACTTTTTCACAAACTAGCATTTTTTTACATTGATCATATTATCTCTGTGCCTAAGTATAAAATTTACCTCAGAGTTGTTATGAAAATTAAATGGGTTAATAAATGTAACACACATCAATCAGTGCTTGACATGTAAGACATTTCAGTAAGTTCTTGGTATATAGTAAGTGCTAGCATCATGTTAACTATTATCACTATTACTATTATTGTATAGTCAGTATATATATTTAATGTAGTGAGGTTGTTTTTTTTTTTAACCTAAAATCAGTAGGTTTCTTAATCATAGACATTTTGGAATGATGAGATTACTGATCAAGTATGAGATGATGGGGGCCTTAGTTGTGAGAATTCAGAAGTAAGTCTGAGATAACAAAAACAAGTGACTTGATGACATATTGGACACAGCAGATTAAGAAAACTGAGGATTTAAGACAACCCTCAGATTGTTTTTTTTTTTTTTTTTAACTTGTGTTTATTATTGAATGTATTACAGACATCCACCCATCTTGATCCTCTCCTCCCCATTCCCTCCGGACCCCTCCTGCATTCCCCGCACTATTGTCTGTGTCCATTGGTTATACATGTATGCATATAAGTTCTTTGGTTTCTCTCTTCCCACCCCACCTTCCCCCTTCTCTCTAAGGTTCATTAGTCTAACAAACTATTTGTACTTCTTAATCTCTTCACCTTTTTCACCCACCTCGAACTCCCCTCCCATATGGCAAACATCAAAAAGTTCTCTGTATCTATTAGTCTGTTTCTGTTCTGCTTGTTCATTTTGTTCGTAGATTCAATTGTTGATAGATATGTGTTTATTGCCATTTCATTGTTCATATTTTTGTTCTTCTTCAAGAAGATCCTTCAACATTTCATGTAATACTGGTTTGGTGGTCATGAACTCCTTTAGCTTGTTCTTGTCTGAGAAACTCTTTATGTGGTCTTCGATTCTAATTGCTAGTTTTGCAGGATAGAGTAATCTTGGTTGTAGGTCCTCGCTTTTCATCACTTTGGATATTTCTTGCCACTCCCTTCTGGCCTGCAAAGTTCTTTTGAGAAATTAGCTGACAGTCTTATGGGAGCTCCTTTGTAGGTAACTAACCACTTTTCTCTTATTGCTTTTAAGGTTCTCTCTTTGTCTTTAACCTTTTGCATTTTAATTATGATGTGTCTTGGTGTGGCCCTCATTGGATTTATCTTGTTTGGGACTCTCACTGCTTCCTGGACTTACAAGTCTGTTTCCTTCACCAAGTTAGGGAAATTTTCTGTCATTATATTTTCAAATAGGTTTTCAATTTCTTGTTCTCCCTCTTCTCCTTCTGGCACCCCCATGATGCAAATGTTGGTATACTTGAAGTTGTCCCAGAGGCTCGTTACACTATCTTCATTTTTTTTAAATTCTTTTTTCTTTTTGCTGTTCTGATTGGGTGTATTTTGTTTCCTTATATTCCAAATTGATGGTTTGCTTCTTGGTTTTACCTATACTACTATTGGTTCCCTGTAAATTATTATTATTATTATTATTATTATTATTATTAATTTCATTTTTATCCTCACCCAAGGACACTTGCATCTATCTTCAGATAGAGCGGGAGGGAGGGAGGAAGGGAGAGAGAGAGAGAGAGAGAGAGAGAGAGAGAGAGAGAGAGAGAAAGATCAATGTGAGAGAGACACATCGATTGGCCACCACCCACACAACCCCAACCGGGACCAGGGACAAACTGCAACTGAGGTATGTGCCCTTAGCAGGAACTGAACCCGGGTCTCTCTGGTCTGTGGGCCGATGCTCTAACCACTGAGAAAACCAGCCAGAGCCCTGTAAATTATTTTTTATTTCAGTTAGTGCATCCTTCATTTCTGACTGGTCCTTTTTTTATGTTGTTGCTATTCTCACTAAGTTCCACTAAGTTCATTGAGCATCCTTATAACCAGTGTTTTGAACTCTGTATCTGTTAGATTGCTTATCTTTATTTCGTTTAGTTCTTTTCCTGGAGTTTTTTTTTTTTTTTTCTTTCATTTGTGAAGTTTCTTTGTCTCCTCATTTTTGCTACCACCATGTGTTTGTTTCTAGGTATTAGGTAGAGTTGCTATGCCTCCTAGGCTTCCTAGGGTGTCCTATTATAGTAGGTGTCCTGTAGGGTCCAGTGGCACAGCCCCTCTGGTCACCCCAGCTGGGCCTATGAAGTGCAGCCCTCATGTGGACTGTACACCATTCTGTTGTAATTGAGACTTGATTGCTGTTGGCATGTCAATGGTATAGATTTACTCAAGCTGATCAGCTGCAAGGACTGGCTGTGCCCACTGACCACTGACCTCTGACTCCCTTGGAGGATCAGTTGTGCAGGGGCCACCACACAGAGCAAGACTTACTTCTTCAGGGCTCTGGTACCCACTGAGTCCACTCCTTGAGTGTGTTACTTATAAATGTGGTTGGGTAGTGGTGCTTTGCCCTGGTCTGAAGCCGTCCACTGGGTGTGCTGGCTTTAGGGCAAGGTCAGCCTCTGCCTGTGTTCTACCCCGGGGCTATCAGGCATAAGCTAGAAAGTGATCTGCCAATGGCTGCTGCTTCTGCTGGTCTTGGAGGTGCCCATGCAAAACCAAGCTGTGAACCAAGGCTAGCTGCTTCTAGTGCCAGGCCTGAGGCCACTTAACAAGAGATATGGGGCTTGCTGAGGCCAGGTGTTGTATGTTCGAGAGAATTTGGGACAGTCAGAAGCATGATCCAAGAGAGGCCAATCCTATTATAAAGCCCTGGAAACATCATGGGTGGGCCCAGAAGCTGGGAGGGGCAGGGTCTTAGGGAATCAGCAGGGCTGAGCAAACAGTATGGGCCAGGTTCCTGGAGTCTCAGATATGGTGCCCATCTGCTGGGCCTGTGGGGAATGGGCTCACCAAAGGAACAATGGCCTCCACCAGCATGTCTTTACTGGAGAATGCTGCCTCTCCAGCTCTTGCCCTGATGCCAAACAACTCAATTCTTCCCCGTATGTTTCTGGTGTTTTTCAAGCTACCTTCCCCATGCTGGAGCCTGGAGGGTGTTAGTCGGTGTAAGTCCATGTGTGGGCCCTTTAAGAGAAAGTACCTGGGACTCCAGAATCCTCAGCCTCCCTCAACCTCAATTCCTGCTGGTTTTTACTGCCAGAAGTTATGGGGACTTCTCTTCCTGGCACCCAAACCCTGACCTGGGGCGGGGGAGGGTGTGGGATGGGGACCCCTCACTCCTCAGGGAAGACCTTCACAACCGAGGTATCCCTCCTGATTTTTATCTGCCACGTATGGGTTTGGGACCAACCTGTGTTAGCCTGTCTGCGCCTCTGCCCGTCCTGCTGGTCTTGATGTGGCTTTTTTAATTTCGTAGTTGTAGGACTTCCATTCAGCCTGATTTTAGGCACTTTTGAATGACGGTTGTTCTGTCCTTTATTTATAATTTTGATGTGGTTGTGGGAGAAGGCAAGGGCTGTGTTTACCAATGCCGCCATCTTGATTGGAAGTTGACAACCCTCAGATTGTAAAACTAAATGAATGGAAAATGGATTGGTTTAGGGAAGAATTGTTCCCTGATATATGTAAAGTACTTAAAACAATGCCTTGAAAATAGAAAATAATTTGTGTGTCAGCTATTTGTAAGTAGTAGGACTGTTTATTTATTTTTGGTTAATCCTCACCTGAGGACATTTTTCCATTGATTTTTAGATAGAGAGGGAGGGAGAGAAAGGAAAACATTGATGTAAGAGAGACACGTCGATTGGTTGCTTCTCTCACGACTCCAACTGGGTTCGGAGATCGAACCTGTGACTCCTTGGTCTTAGGCCTGACACTCTAACCATTGAGCAAACTAGCCAGGGCAGTAGTAGGACCATTTAAACTGGTAATGTGATTAAGCTTAGTATCAGATAATTTAATGAAAATAGCAAAATATGAATAAACCTCACATATAATTTACTGGTAGATAATTCCTCTGTTTAAGGAAAAATAAAGTATGTGTTTTAAATATTTTTCAGTATAAATCATCAAGGAAGAGTTCAAGTGGCAATGAAAATGATGAGGTGAGAAAAGAGGGTAATATTACCAATTACTTAAAATATTTACTTTTAATATGTAGTTGGCTCAGAGTAAAATGTAATCCTTTTTTCAGTGTCTTTGTTATTAATTTAATGCCTGTGTTTTCTCCAATAATAAAAACTGAGCATCATCATATAATTATTAATTTCATCATGTAATTTCTATGTCTTGTATAACAAAATTTCCAGTAGTCCAATTTAAAAGTTTTTACATTTCTTCATCTTTTATCTTTCTAAATTATCCTTGTGGTCAGTTGAAATTTTTTGGAATTTATTAATCTCTTTCCACAAATTATTTGTACTAGTTTACATTTAAAATGAGATTTCCACAGTTTGTGCATTACCATTAACTTTTTTGCCTCACCATTTTAAGCTATGCGGCAGCCTAGAATTTTTCAGATGATAGTCTCTTCACCATAAATACTTAAACTTTATGTATTTTGTTTGGAGGCATTTGGTAGTTAAATTGATGTTGATTCTTGGCAGGGTTTCTGAAAACTCCTTTAATTTTATGAAATGGAATCATGCAGAAAACGTTTGCTGAACCATGAGCTAGTGGTTCAGCTTGGCTGTTTTCCCTTGTGTGTATATATACATATATATGTATATAAAATCCTCATCCGAGGATATTTTTTCCGTTATTCTTCAGATAGAGTAGGGGGGAGTAGAGAAAGGGAGAAAGAGAGAGAAACATTGATGTGAGAGAGACACATCGATTCATTGCCTCCTGCACAACCCTGACCAGGGTGGGGGACCAAATTGCACCTGAGGTATGTGCCCTTTTCCAGAATCGAACCTACGACTCTGTTCCTTGGGCCTGAGCTCCAACCACTGAGCCAAACTAGCCAGGGCCCTGTCCCTTTATATTTTGTATCTACTTTGATCCTACCTGCCTCAATATGTAATCAGTTACCAAAGCCTACTTTTTTTCGATACTGAAATATTTTGAATACATTCCGCACCTGCATATCTGTTTCTTCTGTCCTGGCATAGGCCCTCATCATTTCTTGCCCGTACTACTACAGTAGCATCCTTGTTCATCTCTCCCTTGCTTTCAGTCCATTCTCCCTGCAGCCACAATGATTGTTTCCAAGAACACAGATGTAATCAGGCCATTCCCTTGCTTAGAATCTTCAATGTCTCCCCATCACTTAGAGGGTAAATTCTAAGTCATTAGTCAAGCCCTTGCTTACTATATCAGCCTCAAATTCCAATTTGCCCTCATTTTACCTTACTCTCCAGAAACAGGGAACTGCTCAAAAGTTTTCTGCACTCTTCATTCATTGCTTCTATGCCTGTATTTTGTCCTCTCATCTTGGAATGCTGTCCTCTGCTTTTTTCTGGTAAATAACTACTCAGTATTTTTAGTTTCTCAGGAAATTTCCCTTTCTCAACCACCATTTCTCTAAGTGCCCCCTATCCGTGCCTCATAATATGCCATCAAAAACTCTGTTATTTTACTAAGAAGGTTGTATTACTTGTATACATGAATCTATTTTCCCTCTAGACTGAGAGATCCTTCAGTAGATGATACTTTACTAAATTTCAGTATTCTTAATGTCTAGCTCAGTATCTGACCTGTGATAAGTAGTCAGTAATCATTTGTTGAATGGTGAGTAAATGTTCTGTGTGGTATGCATATTCAAGTTTAAATGTTAAGATTTTGTATTTGGTCGATAGTTGTCATTCAAAAAACATGGACTGCTTAATATTACTTTATACAATTAAATTATTTGTAATTACTTCTAAGCCTATATTAGCTACACATAATTTTCCAGGTAAATGTTTTTATTTGGGGTGGTAGATTTTTTGCATGCCTCTGTGTACCTGCCTCAGGTTATAACATATTATTGCCATTTCCCATCAGATATTAATCTTAACACATGAATCTTTTCTAAGAAATATGAAAAGGTTTTTTTGTGATATTTAAAGGTATTACATTTTTAGGAAAATATTTGATGTCATTAGATAATACTTCTAAAAATTTTAAGTGCTTATGAATCACCTGGTGATCATATTGAAATACACATTCTAATTAAGTAGATCTTGGGTGAGGCCTGAAATTCTGCCTTTCTCACAAGATCTCAGAGGATGCCAATGTTGCTGGTTCACAGACCACACTTTGAGTATCAAGGTGGTAGATGATATTTTCCAGATTCTTTCATTAGCAGTTGATCAAAACAATTTTCAGTTTTCTTTTTATATGTCTAAATCATCATTTGTATTTTAATTTCATTTTTTATCTTTTTTATTTTTATATTTTAGCAAGACAGTGATAATGCTAATAAGTCACCACAATCTCCAATATCATCTGAGGTACAAGTTCTGTTTTTATATGTTTACATAAATTTCTTTCTTGTCTCTTCTCTCTAATCTCATCATTGTTTTTTACAGTGTAATTTATTTACCCATATTTAGAAAGCCACAAAGGTTAATTTGTACAAACCTAGCCTATAAAGAGTTCTAAGAAGACCACCATAGTTTGCTACAAATATTCATAATAGATAGAACAAATTATCATTGAGAAATGCCTACAGATCACAGAAAAGCATTCAATTTATATAATTAATCCATATTTTGGAATAAATGATAGAAAGAGCTTTAAAATTTTTAATTTGCAAACAAAGTACATCAGCATTGTGCAATGACCTTTGGTTTTTCTCATAACCAATTAGGTCTGAAAACAATGCAAGAGAAACTTCCTTTTTCCACGAGAAACATCCCTGCAGTGGGTTGTTCCTATCGACAAGAGGGTACACATTTCCTGGCATCTTAGACTGCAGAGGCCATAGGGAGAAGGAGTGGATGAGAGCTTCTAAGATCTCAACCAAATACTTTGGTGGTTTAAAGGATTGATTCTTTTAATTTAGTTACACCTATTGCTTTATGACAAGAGATAAGTTTTACAAATTCCAAACAGTATTTCTTCTAATTCAGATTACCTTATTTAGTATTCTAAAAGTGTATCACTAGTAAATAAATGATTATGCATTCATTTGGTGAATTCAGGACATTGTCTAAATGTTTGGATGACCCAAATTCACCATATAACTTTGGTTAATTAGATAGTATTTCATTATATATATATATATATATATATATATATATATATATATATATATATATAATATGTTTTTATTGGTTTTTAGGAAGAGAGGAAGGGAGAGAGAGATAGAAACATTGTTATGAAAGAGAAACATGGATCGGCTGCCTCCTGCACACCCCTCACCAGGGGTCAAGCCTACAACCCAGCATATACCCTTGACCAGGAATCAAACCAGGACTTTTCAGTCCATGGGACGAAGCTCAATCTGTTGAGCCACACCGGCCAGGCAGTATTTCATTTTATATAGTTAGTGTTAAATATTTTTAAAAGCAAGGATTATTTATTTGTTGTTTTGGGTAAGTTGCATTGTAAAACTTTTAAATAGACTTGGACTTTAGTTTTATAAACATGTTTCTAAAGTATTTATATGGCAAGTAAAATGATTTATATTCTTTTGGAAAATAATTTAAATTAGGATATCATAAGATTAATCTTTATCATATACTTTTGTAAGTCTTTAACTTTCACTTATAACAGATGTTGGCATATAAGTAACTGGTTATTTGCCTAATTGTTTTATGATTTTATGATTAGTGCTCACGGGGATAGTATTAGTGCCAGTTTTCTCAAATTATATTGTTTATATAATACATTTTGCTTGCATTTGGAAAAGTAAAATTTTGTCTTGGAATTCATAACATTTTAACCCAAAGAGTGAAGACAAACTGAGGCTTGTTGGTGAGCATGTATTTTGGTAGCTCAACTGACATTCAGCTTGAACTGTGTATCACATGTTAATCAGCAGAAAATTCAGATAATTAACAGAGAATTCTGATTGCTTCAATTTCATCTTTGAAAGGAAAATGATTTAAAAAATTAGTATATTACTTTACTACTAACAAAGCCTTGCCTGTACACTTGAAACTAAGAGAAATCCCATGAGCTGGATATTAGTGTCATCATTTTACAGCTGAAGAGACTGATAACTTTGTCCAAAGACTCTGGTCAATGAATGGTAGAGAAGTGACTGAAACCCAGACTCTATATACTTCACAGTTGCACAGATTAAATAAGATGCTGCTAAAATTATATTATCTTACAAGTTTATATTTACAAAGTGCTTTCTTTTAGTTATCTCAGTTAATCTTCACAATACCCCACTTTAAAGATGAAGAAACAGTCACACAGTAATTAAATGTTTTGCTTAAGACATCCTAAGCTTTCTGACTTCAAGTTCAGATATTTTAAAATATGCTACAATTCTTTCCAAAGCATATAACTGTGAAAGTACTTTGAAGAAATGTGCATTCAAATAGAAGACATAATTTACCATCTATCATTCTATAGCTCTTATTAGTATGAACGTGTAGATTTGCTTCATAATATCCACTAAGTGTCAAGTCCATGGTAGATACTGAGTAAAAGTTGCTAATTTCACTTATCTTTTCATTGATGTTTACTTCATTTTGGGGAAGACTTTAATCTGTTATTTACTCAAAAGTAATATTTACTTATACACTTAAATAATTTTATTTTTAATTTTACTTACACTAGGAGAGAGGAGTATTTAAAAGCTCATGTAATCAGATCAATTAGCAAATATTTATACCACTTTTAAAAATAAAATCATTTATTTGACTTGAAATGCAGTTTACCTTTCTCTACTTCACTAATCATGGAAAGAAATACTTCAAATACTTCTCAAAATTGTAATGGATATGAATAACTACCTTAATTATTTAGAAAGAAAAGAGGTTTTATTTTTTTTCTGTTTTTAGGAATATGATAGAACTGATGGTTTTTCACATGGTCCTTTTGGCTTGAAGCCAAGATCAGGTAAATATATATTCTGCAAATAAAATTTTCTGGTTATATATGAAACTAGAGTTTCCAAACTTAAATGGGATTTGATTCCATAGTTTAAGTACACATAGATTCTTTCCCCTCTCCTAAAAGTAATTTTCTCTTAACCTTATTTGTCTTTCCAATTCCCATTCCCCATTTCTTTCTTCCTCTTTACCTTCAAGCTCCTGAAACCTCAGCTTTTTGCCTTATATATACTGCAGTCTAATTTCTACACTACTGTGACTGCTATTAGAATGACCACTCTGCCAGCAGACCAAACACTGTTTGAAATTATAGCACTCCATTATATTGTGGTTTTAAAAAGGGATCTTTTCGCATTTGGCAAGCCCAAAAGAAAATGGATCCATGTTACTTGGCAAGGTATTGAATTATAGTTTTTATTCCTGAATAACTGTATTGACCTTCAAGAGTAATTTCCTTTTTCTTTAAAGATAATAAAGGTTGATTTATGTTTAATAATTTTTAACCTGGATCATAAGTTTCTAAAAATGTATGCTTAAATAAAAACATATTTAGGTGGTAAAAGTTGTTACATTTGCCTTTCCTGTTGCTTTCAATTATGCAGATAAGTTGATTTTAATTATATTCTGTAAAAACTGTTTAGAATGTATTAATAATAATTTTATGTAGTTTTGTATTCATTCTTTTTATCGTGCCTCTTTTCCTACCGATGGTTGAGCCTTCTTATTAGCTTTGTAATAAGCTAGGAAATTTCTGTTTTTATAGCTTTTAGCCACCCATCTCGCAAGGAATATGGGGCAGCAGATCCTGGATTTACAATGAGAAGAAAGATGGAACATTTACGGGAAGAACGAGAACAAATACGACAGCTTCGCAATGTAAGTCAGACTTACCTTTCAGCTCTGCTTTGTAAAGATGGGTTTAACTTGGAAAATTAACAATATATATGGGTTTTATTTATAGTGCTCTTTAAATTCTTGAATTATATCATGATTTTTAACATAAATATATAACATATTTAGGTAGAATATTTGTGATTTATACCCATTTCTTTATAGAATCTCGAATCCAAGTTGAAAGTAATTTTGCCTGATGATATTGGAGCTGCGCTGATGGATGGCGTTGTTCTTTGCCATTTAGCCAATCATATAAGGCCCCGCTCAGTAGCTAGTATTCATGTGCCATCACCAGCAGTGGTAAGTTTTGTCTACAATTTGTAAGTTCTCTAAAGGAAGATAGGGCCTCTTGAAACTGTCTTTAAATAATATCAATTTTGATTAATTTATGTATAAATATGCCTGAAAATATACCTTTTATCTTTACAGCCTAAACTGAGCATGGCAAAATGTCGAAGAAATGTAGAAAATTTTCTTGATGCCTGTAAAAAGTTAGGAGTCTCACAGGTAATTGTTATTTTTCCAAAAAAATCACTTAAATATTAATTGATTACATGTATACTGGAATTCTTATTCTTCACAATAGGAATGAATAATGCTTTTTAAAAAAACTCATCTTTATTGTTGAATATATTACAGATATTTCCCCCTTTTTCCCCCATTGACCCCCCTCCTCCCCATTCCCGCCCCCCTCCTGCCTTCCCCACACTATTGTCAGTGTCCATTGGTTATGCATTTATGCATAGAAGTTCTTTGGTTTATCTCATCCCATCCTCCTTCTCCCTTTCCCTTTGAGATTCATCAGTCTAACAACCAATTTGTACTTCTTAATTCCTCCATCTTTTCACCCAGCCCCCCAGCCCCCACCCATCTGGCAAGCAACAAAAAGTTCTGTTCTCTGTATCTATGAGTCTGTTTCTGTACTGCTTGCTCATTTTATTTCATTTTGTTTGTAGATTCAATTGTTGATAGATATGTATAAATTGCCATTTTACTGTTCATAGTTTTGTTCTTCTTCACCTTCAAGAAGACCCTTCAAACATTTCATATAATACTGGTTTGGTGATGATGAACTCCTTTAGCTTTTTCTTGTCTGGGAAACTCTTGATATTCCATCGATTCTAAATGATAGCTTTGCAGGATAGAGTAATCTTGGGTGTAGGTCATTGCTTTTCATCACCTTGAATATCTCTTGCCACTCCTTTTGGCCTTCAAAGTTTCTTTTGAGAAATCAGCTGACAGTCTTATGGGAGCTCCTTTGTAGGTAACAAACTGCTTTTCTCTCGCTGCTTTTAAGATTCTCTCTTTGTAGTTAACCTTTGATATTTTGATGATGATGTGTCTTGGTGGGGGCCTCTTTGGGTTCAACTTGTTTGGGACTCTCTGTGCTTCTGGACTTGTATGTCTGTTTTCTTTACCAAGTTAGGGAAATTTTCTGTCACTATTGTTTCAAATAGTTTTTCAATTTCTTGCCCTCTCTCTCCTCCTTCAGGCACCCCTATGATGTGAATGTTGGCAAGCTTGTAGTTGTTCCAGAGGCTCCTTACACTATCCTCATTTTTTTGGATTCTTTGTTCTTTTTACTATTCAAGCTGGGTGTTTTCTGCTTCCTTATACTCCAAATCGATGGCTTGCTTCTTGGCTTTACCTGCTCTACTATTGAATCTGTAAATTATTCTTTATTTTAGTTAGTGCATCCTTAATATCTGACTGGCCCTTTTTTTATGTTGTTGTTGTTCTCACTAAGTTCCTCAGAGGTCTCCTTAAGTTCCTTGAAGGTCTCACTAAGTCCCTTGTATGTCTCACCAAGTTCCCTGAGCAACTTTATAACCTGTGTTCTGAACTCTGCATCTGTTAGATTGCTTATCTCCATTTTGTTTGTTCTTTTCTTGGAGTTTTGTTCTTTTCTTTCATTTGGGACATGTTTCTTTGTCTCCTCATTTTGGCTGTTTTTCTGTATTAGGCAGGATTGCTATGCCTCCTAGGCTTTGTAGGATAGCCTAGTGTTGTAGGTGTCCTGTAGCATCCAGTGGGACAGTCTCCCTGATCACCCCAGCTGGGCCCTCACGGTGCACCCCTAGCATGGACTGTACACCCTTCTCTTGTAATTGCATCTTGATTGCTGTTGGCACGTCATTGGGAGGGGTTTACTCAAGATGATCAGCTGCAAGGACTGGCTGTTCCCACTGACCACGCGCCTATAACTACCTAGGAGGATCAGCGGTGTAGGGGCCAACGACACAGAGAAAGACTTACATCAGCAGGACTATGGAACCTACTGAGTCCACTCATTGAGTGTGTCACTTGTGGAGGTGGTTGGTTGTTGGTGTTTCGAAGTGGTCCACCAGGTATGCTGGCTCTCGGGCAAGGTCAGCACTGCCTGTGCCCTATCCAGGGCCACCTGGCATAAGCTACAAAGTAAACTGCAGATGTCTGCTGCTTGTGCTGGGCTTGGAGGTGTCCAGGAAAAGCCAAGTTGTGAACCAAGGCTAGCTGATTCTAGTGCCAGGCCTGGGACCTGTTAATGAGAAGACTGGCTGCTCTCGAGCCCCGGCTCTGCACCACTCTTGGAGGCTACTGGGTCACACAGGTCCATCCAGAACCCCAGCTCCACACTGCTCTTGTGGGTCATTGGGTCCCACAGTTCCCTCTGGATTCTGGCTTCCTTCCCCTCTGTGGGCTGCTGGGTCACACAGGCTCCTATGGATCCCTGGCTTCCCACCGCTCTTGTGGGAAGCTGTGTTGCACAGGGCCTTATAGAGCCCCTAGTCCTGCCGCTGGTGGCTGGGGACTGCTGCTGCCCAGTGGGGCTCAGTTCCTGCACAGCCTTTGCTGTAGTTTTTTTGGGTGGTTCTCTGCTGCTGGTCTGTGCTTCTGTTGCCTGGGGATAGATATCTGCTCCCCAGCCTCTGTTGCTGGGGGTATATATTGACTCTGATCAGGCTACTACTACAGGGGATGGTGCTGGGCTGCCATTCTGCAAATGTCACCTTCACAGCTCCGCTACTGTGCACTGGTCTGTGTTGACACAGCGTGTCCACTGGTCCAATGGTGCCAGGTGCACTGGTGGGCTCAGGTACCAGATGCTGCTTGTTTGAGAGATTTTAGGAATCTCTAAAGGAAGATCCAAGACAGGCCAATCCTATGGTAAAGCCTTTGGAAACAGCTTGGGTAGGCCAAAAGTTGGGTGGGGCGGGGCCTCAGGGAATCACCTGGGAAGGGCCCACAGTGTGAACCAGGTTGCTGGAGTCCCAGATATGGAGGCTGTCTTCTTGCCCTGTGGGGGAAGGGCTCACCAAAGGAAAAACGGCCTCCACCAGAACATCTGACCAGGAGAAATCTGCCCCTCCAGCCTTCATCTTGAGGACAAACAGCACAGTTCTTCCTTGTTCTCTGGTGCCACTCAAGCTGCCTCCCCTTGGAGCTCAGAGAGAGCAGTTCTGAGTAAGTCTGTGCATGGGCCCTTTAAGAGGAACTACTGGGGCTGCCATAGCTGCAGCCTCCCTCTGCCTCAGTTCCCACTGGTTTTAGAGCCAGAAGTTATGGGGACTTTTTTTCTGGCATGGGAATCCTGAGCTGGGTGCCTGATGTGGGACAGGGATCCCTCATTCCTCAGGGAGGGCCTTCACAGCCGAGGTCTCTCCTGAATTTTTCCAACACACGTGGGTGTGGGATCAGCCCTTCCACGCTTTCGTCCCTCCTACCAGTCTTGATGTGGCAGCTTCTTTAATTTTGTTGTGGCACTTCCATTCAGCTCGATTTCAGGCAGTTGGGTTGTAGTTTTGTTGTAATTTTGATGTAGTTATGGGAGGAGGCAATACTGCGTTTACCTACACGACCATCTTGACCCACCTCCAGTGAATAATGATTTTTGAATATGAAAATGATTACCTCCACTGACCCCTTCTCCTGAATTCCAACTTTAAGTATAACAGCTCCCCAATTAAAGATTTTAAGCTGCTTTGGGGTTGCGACACTACCCAGGAAACTAAGACTTCACAGTGGTGATTACCGTGGGTCCTCCCTTGCTCATCCAAACCCAGTAGAGGGAGCCACAAACAGCACAACACCAACACCAACAGTGAAAATTTGGCAGGCTCCAAAATCCACTGAGATAGCCAAACTGGTGAAACAAAGAAACAAATCCCAAATGAAAGAGCAAGAGACCTCTGCCGAAGATGAGATGAATAAATGCAGTTAAGCAAGTTAAGAGAGCTAGAATTCACAGCCATGATCTTGAGGAAGCTCAATAGCATGTATAAGGACATCAACACCGTGAGTAAAGACATCGAAACATTGAAAATCAACCAATTGGAAATTAAAAACCACCAAAAAGAAATGAAGAATGACATAGCTGAAATAAAGAACAAATTGGAAAGACTAACCAGCAGAGTAGAAAAAGCTGAGGACCGGAGCAGTGAATAAAAAGACAGGGTAGAAAAAAATCAACCAATCAGGAAACCAAAAGGGAAAAAAAAATTAAACAACAGACATAGAGCATGAGGGAACTGGAAACGTAATAATAGTCGCATCATAGGAGTCACGGAAGAAGAAGAAAATGAAAAAGTGTTAGAGAATATATTTGAAGAAATAGTAAGAGAAAACTTCCCTAAATTGGTAAAGGAAGAAGGCATTCAAGTTCAAGAAGCACAGAGAACCCCAAGTAAGAAGAACCCAAACAGGCTCACACCAAGACACATAGTAATTAAAAGACCAAATATTAAAGACACAGGGAATCCTAAAGGCAGCAAGAGATAAGCAACAGGTCACCTACAAAGGAAACCCCATAAGGCTCTCTGCTAACTTCACAACAGAAACACCACAGACCAGAAGGGAGTGGCATGAAGTAATCAAGGTCATGAAAAACAAGGATCTGAATCCAAGACCACTCTACCCAACAAGGCTATCATTCAAAATAGAAGGTCAAATAAAGACCTTTGTAGACAAAAAAAAAAAAAAAAAAAAGGCCAAGGGAATATATTACCACCAAACAAGCACTGCAAGATATGCTAAAAGGACTGCTGTAATTAGTAGAAGAAATGGGAAGAAAAATATAACCACACTAAATGAAAATGGCAATAAATAAGTACATATCAATCATCACCATAAATGTGAATGGTTCGAATGCTCCGATAAAAAGAAATAGAATAGCTGACTGGATAAGAAAGCAAGACTCACAAATATGTTGTTTCCAAGAGACCCACCTCACAACAAAAGACTCACATAGGTTGAAAGTGAAGGGATAGAAAAAATCTTTCAAGAACACAGAGAGCAAAAAACAGCTGGGGTAGCAATACTTATTTCTGATAAAGTAGATTTCAAAATGAAGGCCATAACTAGAGGCAAAGAAGGCCACTACATAATATTGAAAGGCTCTATCCAACAGGAAGTTATAACCTTGGTAAACATGTAGACACCCAATATAGGAGCACCAACATATATTAAAAATGTTCTGGAGGACTTCAAAGGAGAAATCAACAGCAATACAATCATAAGAGGGGTCTTCA